GACCTAAAAACAGAAACTCGATTCTGCTGTGGTGAAGTCTGGCTACAAAGGGAGGTGTCCGATAGGGTCGCTTGTCTCAAACCAGTGAAGAAGTCAACAAGAACCCAGCAGAACTAGAGAGTGACTGTTAGCGGGAGAACAGTGACAGAGCGACAGAGACTGGCACAACATTTTACAGCCAGTACATAGATAGACCCCGTCAGAAGACCGGGGCTGTGTTTAAAGGGGAACTTCATTTATTGTTAGTGGAAGTGTAGTTTTTTAGTCAAACAATTATGTGAGTTATGGAGTCAGATTACATTTTTCTCAAACACAATTTTATAATCGGTCTGAAGTATCTGTTTTAAGGCAATGAGCTGCAGATTAAATAACATAACACTGATTGAGAGCTTGGATGAAGAAGTTGTAGGGTTTTTACAACAGTTTCAAGAATCAGTTTTTATTTATTTATTCTTGAGTAATTTTACTGATTTATAGTGTAGTGCGTAAGGCACTATCTCATTTTGAGTGAGGGGCACCAGCCCTTCATGCATGTCACCCTCTGTGAGAATGGTTCGTATGTTTCCCTCTAGTTTAGATAAATATTATTTTATTATATCTTTGTTCAGCAGTATCAAACAATCCTCTAATCCTAGAATTATTGAGACGCATTAGCGACACCAGGGGTATTGTTTTTCGCAGCAACAATGATGCATAATACCAGGACAAAAGCCATTATTGCAACATGTAAACCATTTTTGTGCTAATGGCAGATTTGAGTGAATATGTTTTTATACCAGCAGAAAACATACATCATACGATATTTTGTACGCCTTATGGGTACACAGAGAAGTTATATTTATTTAATGCAACGTTATGCGTTTTACATGTCCTGTTCAGAATAGGGTAATCATTGCAATATTAATTGAGCATGTTCTGCTCAAAGGAGGGAGTGTCATGATTATACAGATATGTTGATTTCAGTGACGTTGTAGTTAGTAAATAATAACATGTAGTTAATAATAGGTCTCATAACGACAAAAGGTATGCCAAAGCTTGGGCCTCCTCCAAGGAGGGAGTGGTCCAGTTTTGGATATTAGACTAATAGAAGTGATGAATATGTCAGAACTCTGAGTAATATAATCTAAGTTTTGTCTACACAGGCTAAGAAAGCTACAGAGATACCAGACGAGACACCAGAAGAGACTCCTGTTCGGCCAGGTGTTGGGTGAGGGTGAAAGTTCACAAAAGACAGTGAGCTGATCCCCGGTGGACGGAACAGTGAGAAGTTGTAACGAACTTCACACGCGCTCCGGTTTAAAGGTAAAGAAAAAGGAGCAAATTGACACCACCTCACACATTGTCACCCTTCACTGGCAACTTCCAGAACATTATTGGGAGTTAGGACTGATTTGGCAGAGCTGGAACAAAACAATAAATAGAAATAAGATAAAGATAGAAACAGCTCAAAAGAGGAATTGTCTATAGATTTGTATAGATAGTACACTAAAGTGAAAACCTATTTTTGTTTTACATCTGAAAAAGAGTCAAATTTTAGTATACGTTATTATAGTACTCATTATTTAAATTCTGTAACTGACACCAAGGGAGAAAATAGAGATGATGTCAAGAACAAAGCCAAAGCTATTGTGGGGTCCCCTAGGGATACCAGTCAGAATAGCATTGTTGATTGTGCTCATTACACGTGGCACCTTTCTGGTTGGATGGGGAGTACAATATCAAGTAAGACATGGATCCATTAGTCCACTCATAGAGAATGCCCACATCACTAACAAAACTCCAGCTGTGTTTCAGAGAGTTTCACTTATCCCCAGAGCCAAAAGATCAGCTGAGCAACAAGAGGAGGAGTTAGAAATACTTGGTCCCAAAGGTGAGGCGATTACAATCAAGATGATTCACCCCCATATATGCAGTTCTTGTATCAAATGATGAGATGGGTTTAAGTGATTGGGATATGTAGGTGATGGGAATTTACAGACCAGGGGAATCTAAAAATACACTGGATCCATGTTTTAGTCTGTGCCAGAAACACCCCTGTTAAGTTTATGAACAACCGACCGGTGACCTGAGCACAATTATTGAAAATGATTACAGTAGAAACAGGCTACTAACCCACAAGTACAGCTTTGTACGTACAAACTCTATGAACAAAATTCCCCAGCAGATTGTGGCGACATTGCAGATATGTTCAGTCACAAAAGTTACTTATGTTCTAAATAACAGTGAGATTTAGAGTAATGGAGAAAATATGGGGACGTTCTTTTATAGTGTGTGAAATATGTGGTGCTTGAAACATGTAGGTATTTTTAATTTATAGAAGAAAATGGTTTCCTGAAAGAGTTATTTGGAGTAGCCATGTTACAGTGGGTGGAAACAATGTTTAGGGATATGGCACAACCATTAGTAGACATTAATTGGGTTTAGATGACATTTAACATCTAAGACAGATAGTAAGATTAGGCAAATCTTTATTTGAATGGAAAATGTTAAAGGTAGAGCTGGAACCAAGCCAAAGAAAGTATTCCAATCTAGAGTATTGGTTTCTCCATTGTAGCATGGTTATTACCACAGGAGAACTGTTAAGGTGGAAACAACATTTGTTTGTCGTCCAAGATGTAGAGTTTTAAAAAGACACTAGGCAAAGAGCGATTGAAGATTTTAATTTTGAAAAAACTAGTACAATTGGGAGTAATACATGCGGGGACTTGGATCACTCATTTTAATGGTGCATATTTTCAACAATAAACATCGTTCAGGGAGAAGGGGTTGCTCAACCCACCCTGCAGATGTTTTAAATCTTACTTGCAGCTTCAGAGGGAGCGCACGGCACCAGAGTATGAGTTTTAAAAGACAAGTGCCACCACCTCCTAATGCTCCTCCATTTAATCAGTGATGACCTGACATTTAGAGATGTTATTTAAAAGGAGAAACATATCTGCCATGAGTGAAAATTCCTGAATTGAACTACAAACCATTAAATGACTTCTGTTTTTGAAGTCCTTGTTAGAGCACCCAAGGTTCCACACACTGTTAAAGGGGGTTAGCATAGTTATTTAAGTAGACCAGAAATGAAAATAAATTAGTATAATGAGTTATTGATATTCCACCGGTTTTCACACCATTTCAGGGACTTTATCACTGCATTAGAACAGACCACCCCAAAGCCAGTAGGGCTAAGAGACCAGTCCCAGGGGGAGTTTAGGCTCCAGGGTAAAAGGATAGCATAGGGCCGCCCAGGGGAGGCCTAAATGTAGCACTCATTCCATGTCCTAAAATACCGATTGATCACGACGGCCTCTTCTAGAGAACATATTACTTTCATACCTTAAATGGTATGAAAGGAGGGAGGGTACATTTCTCATGAGGAGACAGTTACAAATGCTAGTAGAACAAGACAGCCCACCCCAATACAGATGTTGATGAAAATGATGAGTTAGTTTGAATGATGTTAAACGATATGGATGTTCAGAGATGAGGTTGTTCAATGAATGTCCAGCCGATGTGATTCTTTAAATGATGAAATCATGTGAAGAAGTGAGCAAAATAAAATGCTAAAATGGAGTGAATCCATTTCAATTTACTTATACTATTACAAGATAGTTTATTTCATTTTTATTATTTTTCACTGTTCTATATGGTAGATTTCATGTATTTTCGAATCATTACAATTCTAAAATGGATAGTTTCTTTTCACTTTGTAAAAACAAGTGACTTAACACTGAGCGTGGTATGAGAACGGTTTCTGTGAAAGGAGGGAGGAAGAAATGTTCTGATACCAAGCCATTGCTGCTATTTTGAAGAGCCATATTGAATGTTAACACTAGAAGTTATGCACAAGGGAAAACTTTTATGTTTGAACACAGTCAAAGTATTTCTGTATTTTTGTAAAATTGAGGATATTCGCACTATTCCATTTTGTTTGTATGTTTTTGATATGAATGATGTACTATGCAGAGTTCAGATGAAGAACTCATTGATTTCAGTATTATACACACCTTTTAGGTGTGTAAGGAGGGACTGTTAGAAATTAAAATCAATATTTTGATGGCATAATGTACCTTAAATGTACCTTCAGTTTAAATGCTGTTTTATACTGAAAAACCAGAAAATTATTGTGCACAACCAGTTAAGCTTTTATTCTGAAAATCCTTCATCTCCGGTTAGCATGTGGCTAGTTTACCATTTCTTATAGAGGTTAATTTAGTAGCGAAATGACATGGAGTGATGCACACAGAAACCTACTGATTTTAACACTGCAACTATAGACGTATTATTATTGCTGAATATTAAATGAAGGTATAGTTTATTTGAATAAAGTTATTGTTTACAGACGTGGGTAAGATGTGACAACTTCCGGAATGACCAGAAACCAAACCAGCCGTGAAGTATTTTCTATATTTTTTAGAATATTAACTACAACGTTTAGAATGTGTTAAAGGAAAAGTGATGAAAGACAATATGAGGAGAAGAGGCGTGTTTAAGTATGTATTGAATGTACAATGCCTGAATCCTCTGTTTAAACGTAACAACGGACATTAAGATGTGGAGGGCCGGCCCGCAGGGAGGAGCCTGCAGAAGCTATATAAGAGCAGCACCTGAGCGGTTCGGCCTCTTTTCTCTGCTAGCGAGGGCCAGAGACAGCTGCTTTTCTGTCGGACAATATCCTGTTTGTGACTGTACCGCGCCTTTTATTAATTAAAGTACCAATTTGAAAACATCTCAGAGACTCCATTTAGTCTCCTTTTTAAGCTTCTCTTTCCTGGACGCGAGAATAACCATCACAGTTAACAATCTCCAGTAGATATCGGTATCTGCAGCACAGACCGCCTACCTCAGGATGAGGCTACATAAAGTGTGACACACGCTCATTAATAAATGAAGGAGCTAACTGCTTCTCCCGTGCTTCCGGTCTTTATGCTAAGCTATGCTAAGACATCCAGCTTTTTTCACAACACGCTAACACGGCTAACATCTGCCCGGTGAACAAAGCACAGCACAGGAAGTGTTTCAGAGGGTTTTATTGAGGTTCTGACAGTTTAGTTGGCAGCGATGGTCTGGTCCATCCAGCTGCGCAGCTCGGTGACGCGGGCGTAGACCCCGGGCATGGTGGGGGTGCAGGTACCACTGCCCCAGGACACGATGCCCACCAGAGTCCAGGCTCCAGCCTTCTCACAGACCAGAGGACCACCAGAGTCTCCCTGAGGAAACACACACACACACAGATTTATATTAATCGGTCCAAAACAATATTGTTAGGTTGCTGCAAATCCAACCCCACAGTGGCGTGTTCCAGTTCCAGCCTCACCATGCAGGACGAGGCTCCGGAGGCTCCGGCGCAGATCATCAGATCGCTGATCTTCCTTCCCCAGAAGCGACGGCACTCATCGTTGGTGAGCAGGGGGAGGGAGGCCTGCTGCAGCAGGGAGGGGGTGTCAGCAGCTGCACAACAAACACAAAAACAAACAAACACAAACAACCACCGTCAACAACAACTCAGACTATCTGAACACTCAGTAACAGGACGCTTTACATTCCTGAGCCAAAAGCTAACATTAGCATTCATTCCTGAGCTAAAAGCTAACATTAGCATGAATTCCTGAGCTAAAAGCTAACATTAGCATGAATTCATGAGCTAAAAGCTAACATTAGCATGAATTCCTGAGCTAAAAGCTAACATTAGCATTAATTCCTGAGCTAAAAGCTAACATCAGCATTCATTCCGGAGTTAAAAGCTAACATTAGCATTCATTCCTGAGTTAAACGCTAACATTAGCATGAATTCCTGAGCTAAAAGCTAACATTATCATTCATTCCTGAGCTAAAAGCTAACATTAGCATTCATTCCTGAGCTAAAAGCTAACATCAGCATTCATTCCTGAGCTAAAAGCTAACATTAGCATTCATTCCTGAGTTAAACGCTAACATTAGCATTCAATCCGGAGCTAAAAGCTACCATTAGCATTCATTCCTGAGCTAAAAGCTAACATTAGCATTGATTCCTGAGCTAAAAGCTAACATTAGCATTGATTCCTGAGCTAAAAGCTAACATTAGCATTGATTCCTGAGCTAAAAGCTAACATTAGCATTGATTCCTGAGCTAAAAGCTAACATTAGCATTGATTCCTGAGCTAAAAGCTAACATTAGCATTCAATCCGGAGCTAAAAGCTAACATTATCATTCATTCCTGATCTAAAAGCTACCATTAGCATTCATTCCTGAGCTAAAAGCTAACATTAGCATTCAATCCGGAGCTAAAAGCTAACATTAGCATTCATTCCTGAGCTAAAAGCTAACATTAGCATTCAATCCGGAGCTAACAGCTAACATTAGCATTCACTCCTGAGCTAAAAGCTAACATTAGCATTCATTCCTGAGCTAAAAGCTAACATTAGCATTCATTCCTGAGCTAAAAGCTAACATTAGCATTCATTCCTGAGCTAAAAGCTAACATTAGCATTCATTCCTGAGCTAAAAGCTAACATTAGCATTCATTCCTGAGCTAAAAGCTAACATTAGCATTCATTCCTGAGCTAAAAGCTACCATTAGCATTCATTCCTGAGCTAAAAGCTAACATTAGCATTCAATCTGGAGCTAAAAGCTAACATTAGCATTCACTCCTGAGCTAAAAGCTAACATTAGCATTGATTCCTGAGCTAAAAGCTAACATTAGCATTGATTCCTGAGCTAAAAGCTAACACTAGTTCCTGAGCTATGAGCTAACATTAGCATTGATTCCTGATCTATGAGCTAACAATTAGCATTGATTCCTGAGCTAAAAGCTAACATTAGCATTCAATCCGGAGCTAAAAGCTAACATTAGCATTCATTCCTGAGCTAAAAGCTAACATTAGCATTCAATCCGGAGCTAAAAGCTAACATTAGCATTCATTCCTGAGCTAAAAGCTAACATTAGCATTCAATCCGGAGCTAAAAGCTAACATTAGCTTTCACTCCTGAGCTCAAAGCTCATCAAGCTTATACACTTGAACATATGGTGTTTATTATTTTGTGTATGTGTGAACATATGAATGTAAAAAAGTCTCTTGAAAATAAGTGTTCATAATGTTTATATGCATATATTATTACTATCATTATTCATTTGTTTTTTATACATGTGTACATATTTATATATAGTATTTTCCTTTTCTAAAATGGTATTTGAAACTGTTATTGACATGTGCAGAAAACGACCCTATATCTAGTTTGTCCTATATATATGCATTCATTTTTTTCTTACCCTCACTGTTATTTATTTTTCTCCAGTTTTCTTTATTTTTCTTTATTTCTTTGTACTACACCGTTGTAGCGGGTTAGCCCCCAGCCGCTCGTAACACACTTCATGCCTAACATTATCTCTGATTGGTTAAGGTTAGCCCCACCCCCTCACCGTTGTAGCGGGTTATCCCCCAGCCGCTCGTAACACACTTCATGCCTAACATTATCTCTGATTGGTTAAGGTTAGCCCCACCCCCTCACCGTTGTAGCGGGTCAGCCCCCAGCCGCTCGTCACACACTTCATGCCTAACATTATCTCTGATTGGTTAAGGTTAGCCCCACCCCCTCACCGTTGTAGCGGGTCAGCCCCCAGCCGCTCGTCACACACTTCATGCCTAACATTATCTCTGATTGGTTAAGGTTAGCCCCGCCCCCTCACCGTTGTAGCGGGTCAGCCCCCAGCCGCTCGTCACACACTTCATGCCTAACATTATCTCTGATTGGTTAAGGTTAGCCCCGCCCCCTCACCGTTGTAGCGGGTCAGCCCCCAGCCGCTCGTCACACACTTCATGCCTAACATTATCTCTGATTGGTTAAGGTTAGCCCCACCCCCTCACCGTTGTAGCGGGTCAGCCTCCAGCCGCTCGTCACACACTTCATGCCTAACATTATCTCTGATTGGTTAAGGTTAGCCCCGCCCCCTCACCGTTGTAGCGGGTCAGCCCCCAGCCGCTCGTCACACACTTCATGCCTAACATTATCTCTGATTGGTTAAGGTTAGCCCCGCCCCCTCACCGTTGTGGCGGGTCAGCCCCCAGCCGCTCGTCACACACTTCATGCCTAACATTATCTCTGATTGGTTAGGGTTAGCCCCGCCCCCTCACCGTTGTAGCGGGTCAGCCCCCAGCCGCTCGTCACACACTTCATGCCTCCGGGGAAGTTGTCTCCGGCCTCGGCGACGCAGACGGGGGACACGCGGACGCTCATCACGGCGGGGGACGCCAGCTTCACCAGCAGGATGTCGTTGTTGATGGTGAAGCCGTTGTAGCTGGGGTGCTTGAACACCTGACAGGAAGTGACATGTTAGAGGACGTCACCACGGCAGGGTCTGGCCTGTGATTGGACGATGTGTTTGCACTCACCTGGCCGACCTTCATCACCTGGATGTCTTCAGCGTTGGAAGAGCGGTCGTGCTCTCCGAGGATCACACGGTGGGACAGCCTGCAAACAGACAAGCAAACAATGAGCAAACAAACAATACGAATAAGCAAGCAACATTAAGAGACAGAGACAGGAGGACATTCAGAGACAGAGACAGGAGGACATTAAGAGACAGAGACAGGAGGACATTAAGAGACAAATAGACAGGAGGACATTAAGAGACAAATAGACAGGAGGACATTAAGAGACAGGAGGACATTAAGAGACAGAGACAGGAGGACATTAAGAGACAAATAGACAGGAGGACATTAAGAGACAAATAGACAGGAGGACATTAAGAGACAAATAGACAGGAGGAAATTAAGAGACAGAGACAGGAGGACATTAAGAGACAAATAGACAGGAGGACATTAAGAGACAAATAGACAGGAGGACATTAAGAGACACAGAGACAGGAGGATATTAAGAGACACAGAGACAGGAGGACATTAAGAGACACAGAGACAGGAGGACATTAAGAGACAGAGACAGGAGGACATTAAGAGACAGGAGGACATTAAGAGACAGAGACAGGAGGACATTAAGAGACAGGAGGACATTAAGAGACAGAGACAGGAGGACATTAAGAGACAAATAGACAGGAGGACATTAAGAGACACAGAGACAGGAGGACATTAAGAGACAGAGACAGGAGGACATTAAGAGACAGAGACAGGAGGACATTAAGAGACAAATAGACAGGAGGACATTAAGAGACAGAGACAGGAGGACATTAAGAGACAGAGACAGGAGGAAATTAAGAGACAAATAGACAGGAGGACATTAAGAGACAAATAGACAGGAGGACATTAAGAGACAGAGACAGGAGGACATTAAGAGACAGGAGGACATTAAGAGACAGAGACAGGAGGACATTAAGAGACACATAGACAGGAGGACATTAAGAGACAGAGACAGGAGGACATTAAGAGACAGAGACAGGAGGACATTAAGAGACAAATAGACAGAGACATTAAGAGACAGAGACAGGAGGACATTAAGAGACAGAGACAGGAGGACATTAAGAGACACATAGACAGGAGGACATTAAGAGACAGGAGGACATTAAGAGACACAGAGACAGGAGGACATTAAGAGACAAATAGACAGGAGGACATTAAGAGACACAGAGACAGGAGGACATTAAGAGACAGAGACAGGAGGACATTAAGAGACAGAGACAGGAGGACATTAAGAGACAGAGACAGGAGGACATTAAGAGACAGAGACAGGAGGACATTAAGAGACAGAGACAGGAGGACATTAAGAGACAGAGACAGGAGGACATTAAGAGACAAATAGACAGGAGGACATTAAGAGACAAATAGACAGGAGGACATTAAGAGACAGAGACAGGAGGACATTAAGAGACATGAGGACATTAAGAGACACATAGACAGGAGGACATTAAGAGACAGAGACAGGAGGACATTAAGAGACAGAGACAGGAGGACATTAAGAGACAAATAGACAGGAGGACATTAAGACACAGAGACAGGAGGACATTAAGAGACACATAGACAGGAGGACATTCAGAGACAAATAGACAGGAGGACATTAAGGCACAGAGACAGGAGGACATTAAGAGACACAGACAGGAGGACATTAAGAGACAAATAGACAGGAGGACATTAAGAGACAAATAGACAGGAGGACATTAAAAGACAGAGACAGGAGGACATTAAGAGACAGATAGACAGGAGGACATTAAGAGACAGAGACAGGAGGACATTAAGAGACAAATAGACAGGAGGACATTAAGACACAGAGACAGGAGGACATTAAGAGACACATAGACAGGAGGACATTAAGATACAGAGACAGGAGGACATTAAGAGACAGAGACAGGAGGACATTAAGAGACAAATAGACAGGAGGACATTAAGACACAGAGACAGGAGGACATTAAGAGACACATAGACAGGAGGACATTAAGAGACAAATAGACAGGAGGACATTAAGACACAGAGACAGGAGGCATTAAGAGACACATAGACAGGAGGGACATTAGAGACAAATAGACAGGGAGGACATTAAGAGACAAATAGACAGGAGGACATTAAGAGACAGAGACAGGAGGACATTAAGAGACAGAGACAGGAGGACATTAAGAGACAAATAGACAGGAGGACATTAAGACACAGACAGGAGGACATTAAGAGACACTAGACAGGAGGACATTAAGAGACAAATAGACAGGAGGACATTAAGACACAGAGACAGGAGGACATTAAGAGACACATAGACAGGAGGACATTAAGAGACAAATAGACAGGAGGACATTAAGAGACAAATAGACAGGAGGACATTAAGAGACAGAGACAGGAGGACATTAAGAGACTGAGACAGGAGGACATTAAGAGACAAATAGACAGGAGGACATTAAGAGACAAATAGACAGGAGGACATTAAGAGACAATAGACAGAGGACATTAAGAGACAGAGACAGGAGGACATTAAGAGACAGAAAGGAGGACAATAAGAGACAAATAGACAGGAGGACATTAAGAGACAGAGACAGGAGGACATTAAGAGACAAATAGACAGGAGGACATTAAGACACAAATAGACAGGAGGACATTAAGAGACAAATAGACAGGAGGACATTAAGAGACAATAGACAGGAGGACCATTATTAAGAGACAGAGGACAGGAGGACATTAAGAGGACCGGAGGAGGACATTAAGAGACAACTAGACAGGAGGACATTGAGAGACAAATAGACAGGAGGACATTAAGAGACAAATAGACAGGCGAGGACATTTTAAGAGACAGATACAGGAGGACATTTAAGAGACAAATAGACAGGAGGACATTAAGTGACAGCGACAGGAGGACATTAAGAGGACAAATTAGGACAGGTGGACATTAAGAGACAGAGACAGGAGGACATTTAAGAGACCAAATAGACTGGCAGGACATTCAACGCACGACAGAGACAGGAGGACATTACGAGACAAGAGACAGGATGGACATTAAGAGACAGAGGACAGGAGGACATTAAGAGACAGAACAGGAGGACAATTAAGAGACAATAGACAGGAGGACATTAAGAGACAAATAGACAGGAGGACATTAAGAGACATAGACAGGAGGACATTAAGAGACAGAGACAGGAGGACATTAAGAGACAGAGACATGAGGACATTAAGAGACACATAGACAGGAGGACATTAAGAGACAGAGACAGGAGGACATTAAGAGACAGAGACAGGAGGACATTAAGAGACAAATAGACAGGAGGACATTAAGACACAGAGACAGGAGGACATTAAGAGACACATAGACAGGAGGACATTCAGAGACAAATAGACAGGAGGACATTAAGGCACAGAGACAGGAGGACATTAAGAGACACATAGACAGGAAGGACATTAAGAGCAAATAGACAGGAGGACATTAAGAGACAAATAGACAGGAGGACATTAAAAGACAGAGACAGGAGGACATTAAGAGACAGATAGACAGGAGGACATTAAGAGACAGAGACAGGAGGACATTAAGAGACAAATAGACAGGAGGACATTAAGACAGAGACAGGAGGACATTAAGAGACACATAGACAGGAGGACATTAAGAGACAGAGACAGGAGGACATTAAGAGACAGAGACAGGAGGACATTAAGAGACAAATAGACAGGAGGACATTAAGACACAGAGACAGGAGGACATTAAGAGACACATAGACAGGAGGACATTAAGAGACAAATAGACAGGAGGACATTAAGACACAGAGACAGGAGGACATTAAGAGACACATAGACAGGAGGACATTAAGAGACAAATAGACAGGAGGACATTAAGAGACAAATAGACAGGAGGACATTAAGAGACAGAGACAGGAGGACATTAAGAGACAGAGACAGGAGGACATTAAGAGACAAATAGACAGGAGGACATTAAGAGACACATAGACAGGAGGACATTAAGAGACAAATAGACAGGAGGACATTAAGACACAGAGACAGGAGGACATTAAGAGACACATAGACAGGAGGACATTAAGAGACAAATAGCGGAGGACATTAAGAGACAAATAGACAGGAGGACATTAAGAGACAGAGACAGGAGGACATTAAGAGACTGAGACAGGAGGACATTAAGAGACAAATAGACAGGAGGACATTAAGAGACAAATAGGCAGGAGGACATTAAGAGACAAATAGACAGGAGGACATTAAGAGACAGAGACAGGAGGACATTAAGAGACAGAAACAGGAGGACAATAAGAGACAAATAGACAGGAGGACATTAAGAGACAGAGACAGGAGGACATTAAGAGACAAATAGACAGGAGGACATTAAGAGACAAATAGACAGGAGGACATTAAGAGACAAATAGACAGGAGGACATTAAGAGACAAATAGACAGGAGGACATTAAGAGACAGAGACAGGAGGACATTAAGAGACAGGAGGACATTAAGAGACAAATAGACAGGAGGACATTAAGAGACAAATAGACAGGAGGACATTAAGAGACAAATAGACAGGGAGGACATTAAGAGACAGAGACAGGAGGACATTAAGAGACAGGAGGACATTAAGTGACAGAGACAGGAGGACATTAAGAGACAAATAGACAGGAGGACATTAAGAGACAGAGACAGGAGGACATTAAGAGACAAATAGACTGGAGGACATTAAGAGACAGAGACAGGAGGACATTAAGAGACAGAGACAGGAGGACATTAAGAGACAAATAGACAGGAGGACATTAATAGACAAATAGACAGGAGGACATTAAGGGACAGACACAGGAGGACATTAAGAGACACATAGACAGGAGGACATTAAGAGACAAATAGACAGGAGGACATTAAGAGACAAATAGACAGGAGGACATTAAGAGACAGAGACAGGAGGACATTAAGAGACAGATATACAGGAGGACATTAAGAAACACATAGACAGGAGGACATTAAGAGACACATATACAGGAGGACATTAAGAGACAAATAGACAGGAGGACATTCAGAGACAGGATGACATTAAGAGACACATAGACAGGAGGACATTAAG